CCCCCCCCCAAAAAAAACTTTGTCTTCAAAACAAGGGTGCGTCTTATACACCGGTGCGTCTTATATTCCGAAAAATACGGTATATAGCTCAGTTTAAAAGAAACTTGCGAAATATTGTATTGCACATGAATCTAATAAACAAATACATTTTAAAACGCAAAGTAAAAACGAACGTAAACTACACCAGTATAAAAAGGTGTTATTACATTTTCTCAGTTTTACTTCCTACCTTGGTATTAAATTGTTCAGTATTAACTTTCTCCAAGGCCTGTGCACTATTAAAGTTACGTCCTACAGATGCGTCCCTAGAAGACGAGTTTTTTTTGTTACCTCTACGAGTAATCACGAATTCTTCCGCTTCTAAAGATAACCTGAAGGGGGAAAAAACAGCATCGGATTTAACATATAATACAATTAATTTTGATAACTTAAATGTCAATACGAAGACAAGAAAAATGTTTAAAATAATTTCAAATTTCGTGGCTAAACACCTTATTGCTGTCACTAAACAGCCTCAAACTAGTAGTCACAGCGCTGGCCATAACGAGGGCGAGGCTTCATAAAATATGGTAATTAGTTTACAGTCCTTCTACTAATGAATTGTACGTTTGAGGAGGATTTGGCAAAACGTGTCCTCTACCCAATTTGTTTTTTCTATCGATTTAATTAAGCTCAAATTAGGTGCCTAATTATTATCTTAAAGGATAATGGTTCACATATTTTGTTGCATTTCTTCGAATAAGAAAAATAATAAATACATTTTAAATAATTTTAAGTTTTGTTTTTAACCCACCAGGGTGAGTCCTAAAGACATTCTTGCCTTACTTTTTCTTAAAGCCAGCACTGAGTAGCTATTACTAATAGAAATGTTTAACCTCTAAAAGGCCAAGAAGAAGTTTCTGTAGTCTTCCTCCTCACCTTTTTCTTACGATTTTCTAGCTTTTATGCAGGAGGAGTAAGTAATTTAGTCTTTTATGTTTTCTGTGTCAACTTAGCACAGTTTGATCCAGTTATTTTTAGTTATTTCCATTTTTTATAATCTTAAAATACAATTTTTTAATTTTAAAGTTTAGATTTTTGTGACCATATCAATTCATTTCTTAAAGTACTTGTATTAAATGTTTACACATATGTTCAAAGACAATAAGTATATTGTGTAGTCTAATTATATTCTTACATGTTTTATAAGAAATAGTTTTCCGTCTTGATAACTAACGTTCTACAAAACCTTCGGTCTTTCCTAACACGACGTCGAAAGAAAAAACTATTTTTACTTCAAATTAATGGTCTAATGAGTTGTAAAGGAGTAAAAAATGAACAGTAGATGTTAGCTATATTTTACCTGAAGTGTAACAAATACAACAGAGGAATTAGCAAAATTCATATTATTTTTGGTCAATTTAGATAAACAATATTTTAAAGATATTTATGAGTAAAATGTTGATATAAAGTAAATAAATTTCGGAAATGTAAAAATAACCAAGTTAATTTATGATTCTCTTTATATTCAGTTTACTCATATCTTTGAAAATCCAATGAACTGAGTTCAACTCATAACCTTATGAACCAGATGAATTTTTTCAACAGTTCCCTCTTGGTGGCTCTTATGTTCTGGACACAAATTGAAACTAGGGTGTTTCCTAACAGCTCATCAGAAGAAAATTGGCACTTTGTTAAGCTAAAGCTTATTGTGAATAGCTAAACAAATTTTCTTTTAATTCTGGTAACTCATAGTTACAAATGTAGAATAATAAGTAGGATTACAGGGTTCACCACAGTTTTCAGCGAAGAACGAACTGGATTACAGAGTTTGCCACAGTTATAGGTGAAGAATGAATAGGATCACAAGGTTCACCATAATTACGAGTGAAGGATAAATTAGGTTACAGGTTCACCACGGTTATAATTGAAGAATAGATAGAATTGAAAACTCACCCACAGTTACAATTAAAGAATGAACAGGATTACAGGGTTCACCACAGTTTTAAGTGAAGAATGAATAGGATTACAGGGTTTAACACAATACAAAAGAAGAATAGATAGAATTTATGGGTTTGCCATAATTACAAGTGAAGAAAGGTGATAAGTATGCAACTTATACAGTGTTATACCACCAGTGGCATTACTGCAACCAATCAAACTATGCCTAATAAGAGACAGTCCGAATTATCTCACCTAGCTGTTCTTATGATGTTTTCAAGTTCTGTGGTTAGATGTCGGCGGATGATATTTTTGGAAGCTGGTATTCCTAGTGCTGTGGCCATTGTACCAGCCGTGAATGAAGGTTCGAAGACCACTAGAGCACCGTGGACACCACTGTCAACTAAGTTTTCTGCATATTCCTGAATAACAACAAATATTTATTTCTAATGTACCAAATAATTTAGAAGCAGAAGAAAGATGAGTCACGTTTCTAATGTTAGCAAAAAACAATTAATATACTTATTTCGATGATAATTGAAACAAAATGGTTCAATTTCATAAAGAAAAATAATGGTTCAATTTCATAAAGAAAAATAATGGTTTCATTGTTTGACTAATATAACTCCTTATTTGTAGAACTTGTGTTAAGAAAGCTTTAAAACTGTTAAGCGACATTAGACTAAATGTTATCATAACAGCATTTTTACATAATCAGACACTGTCAGGTGTTATAAAAGCAGTAGCTGACACTGTTAAACTCAACAACATTGTTACATAATAACTTACAGTTACTATATCCAACGTTAAAATCATCCAAGGTAATAAATCATCGAAGCAACAATTGGCGTTGTTAACATTAACAATGGCCCGGCATGGCCAGGTGATTAGAGCGCTTGACTCCCAATCTGAGAGTCACGGGTTCGAATCCCCATCCTGCCAATCATGCTCACCCTTTCAGCCGTGGGGGCGTTATAAAGTGACGGTCAATCCCACTATTCGTTGGTAAAAAAGTAACTCAACAAACAGTTGGCAGTGGGTGGTGATGACTAGCTGCTTTCCCTCTAGTCTTTCACTGCTAAATTAGGGACGGCTAGCGCAGATAGCCCTCGTGTAGCTTTGTGTGAAATTCAAAACAAACAAACAAACGTTATTGTAAGTTGTCATAGCAACAGCTAATGTTTTACTGTCGATTAAAAACCTTTAAGTAATAACGATAGCTACTGACAGACTGTATGAATATAAGTTAGTATAGCGACAATTAAGGTTATTAATATAACCATAAAAAAACCCTGTTATGGTAAAGTTATTCATATCAATACAAATCTTGCACAATACTAACACAAACATTGTAATGATAAGGTTAATAATACTAACACAAAAATTGGAATGATAAGGATATTAATATCAACACAAACACTGTGATGATAAGGTTATTAATATCAACACAAACTCTGGGATGATAAGGTTATAAGTATCAACACGAACCCTGTGATAATAAGGTTATTAACATCAACACAAACCCTGTGATGATAAGGTTATTAACATCAACAGAAACCCTGTGATGATAAGGTTATTAATACCAAAATAAACCTTGTGATTATAAAGCTATTAATACCAACATAAACCTTATGATAAATAGATTATTAATATAAACATAAACCTTGTAATGATAAGATTATTAATATATTCACAAATAACCCTATGAGGATAAACCTTGAGATGATGAGTAATCATAGGGAATGCGGAGACCTAAGAGACTTTAATTGAATTTTAAGTAAAATAATCCAGAGTTAACAATACAATCAAAAAATCATTATAATAAATATTTAAAAGCAATATCTCGGAGAATATTTGTAAGAAATAAGAATATTTTGATAATGGACATAGTTTTTGTAGGTCTTGTTGTTGTTCTTTGACTAATATTAGGTGTGTTTCTCATTGTCTGTCGGTATGCCATTTTCAGAAAACGATATAAAAGTTTTTCTACCGTAGTTTGCTTGCTTCTTTTAGAGAAAGGCAACATTGGGCTAATTGCTGCGTTCACCGCGGGAATCGAACCTAGGAATTTAACCTTGTAAGTCCGTCAACTCACCGCTGACCCACCAGGGGACTTTTTACCATAGATCGAATCATATGTGACTGTTTTTGTTTCGTGTACCTCCGATGACTCAGTGCTAACGTTGAGAGCTTATAATATTACAATTCAAGAGTTGGTCTCCTACAGTGTACACAGAGCAGATAAGTTTACTGGCCAGTTTTACACTTAGATAAACCATCTTTACCGGATTCCATGTACTCGTACAAATTTAAGTAAACATATTTTTTCCGTCTATTCCTGAACTTAGGAAAAGAAAGAGAATACTAACAGGAACACAAATAATAAGTGCAGAAGGTGAATTTATAGATTAATGGGAGGTTCAGTGGATACAAACCACCAAGTTCGTCGCACATAGACAACTCGAAAAAGATGAAAACGAATACAATTAGTAAAACAGCCAACATTCGCGGACGAAATCAACATTTCTCCGCCACGCAATTCCAACATGGCCAATTTTGACACCAGAAAAATCGTAAAAACACAGAAAACTCGAAAACTGCCTATATCACTGCCTGGGACCTGCAAGAAGGTATCTTTGTACCATATCCCATGTAACATGGTTGACATCATACACATGAATAATTCATGAAAACCCCAAATTGTGCATTCCTCGCTGAAAAATTGAGCAAGAGACAATCATTCCAAAACTGTCTATATCTTTCGTTTGTGACCTGCAAAGAGTATCTTTGTACCAAATTTCATGTAAATTGGACAAAACAAGGTTATGTAATTGGCCAAACCCCCTAAAACTAGGGGTTTATTTAACATTTTCATTCTCTTAAAATGACCTAAAATGGGCATATTTCGAATTTGTGTACATATATATATATGTATTGTTTGTCAATGTGTGGGACCTGTAGAAAAGTATTTTTGTACCAAGTCCCATGTAAATTGGTCGAAATATGACCGAGTAATCGACCCAAAACCCCAAAATTATTTTTGGGAGCACTGATCCCCTTTAAAAAACTCTAAATGGGAAAATCCATCTTTTTGTATGTCAATGTATTGGACGTATGAAAATTTATATTTGTTCCAATTTTCATCTTGATTGCTGTAAATATGACCGCACAGGAGCCCAAAATATACATTTTTCGGTTGTTTGATTTTTGATCCCATAAAATCCTTAGAAGGGCTTAAACCAAAAAAAAAATAAATTAAAGAGCCATTTGAGTGTATTGGACCAAGATATAACATACCAAGTTTCAACTCAATACGATGATAAATGAAGAAATGGCGGTCGATTGCAAAGCGTTTGGAAGAAGAAGGAATAATAGAAAAACAACATGTCTCCCTGTGGAAACATAACTAAGAAAATGTATGAATTACATGAAAAATGACGTTTTAGAATCGTTAGTTTGTAATTCAGGTCTATGGGTGTTTGTAGTTATTGTTTAGGTAATAATGTTGTGTGAGGTGAGGTGGGATTATGTGATGTTATTTACTGGTTGATGAGACGTTGCATTTAGCTATCGATTAAGTATCAGGCTATTAAAACCCAAATATGGCTAAGCTTTTTTGTTTGTTTTTAAGTTAAACATAAAGCAACACAATGGGATATCTGTGCTCGGCCCACCACGGATATTGAAACCCGGTTTCTACCGTTGTAAGTCCGCAAACATTGGGGGGGGAGGGTAACTAAATGACTAATAACAGAGTCGCATCAAGTATTTAAAGATTTCTTGGAGCAAGGTAGTTCTTCTTCTGAGAGTTTTACTTTTATGTATTTCTCGTCTGTTCTGAATTGCCATTCGAAATTAATTAGATTGGTCTTGTTTACTTTTACTTACAGGATCTCATGACCATGGCTTAGAATGAAAAAATATATGTTTTTAAGTACAGTTAGAACCCTTCAAGGTTGCATATCATTGAAGAAATCCAAGGCTGAAGATGGACACCAGTGAAAGAACCAAGCAACAGTGGACAGAACTGTCCTTTATCTGATGGGGTCATGGGTTGACAAGACAGTTGAGTTACGGACCATGAGTTGACAAGTCACAATGTTTAACAGATATCAGCTTCTAACAGTTTTCAGTTGCTGTTTATTTCATTATTCTTGTCTATTCTGTAGCTGGACAAGAAAGTTAAGTCGTAATTTTTAGCAGATATAAGCTTCTAACAGTTTTCAGTTGCTGTTTATTTCATTATTCTTGTCTATTCTGTAGCTGGACAAGAAAGTTAAGTCCCAATGTTTAACAGATATCAGCTTCTAACAGTTTTCAGTTGCTGTTTATTTCATTATTCTTGTCTATTCTGTAGCTTCTAGTTCATATAGAAATACGTCTCTAATGCCTACTAGTGCAGGTCTTTTCATTAGACAAAGTTCGACGCATGTGTACTTTTCTACCCTCTATTGTACAAAGGTTAAAACCTTCACGGAAACTAGCTGTTTATAGATTAAAATCGTTAGAGTATAATATGATACTTTCTCGGGACAGATAATTTTTATACCTACCGAAGTGACATTTAAGCCTTTTTCTTCACTAAAACCTGTTTTATCCTATGTGGGTCCCATAAGAATAACGTAATAACCTATTTCAAACGTCTTGTCATAATTATGTAAAAGTAACCGCACCGATAATTTTGTCGCTGTACGTTAAACAAATATAGAAGTTAATAATATGAATCCAGTTTTCGTGGTATGGCACTTCTTTCGTGCTGCTTTGTCCACCAATGAAACGTTTGCTAAATATGAATCCAGTTTTCGTGGTATGGCACTTCTTTCGTGCTGCTTTGTCCACCAATGAAACGTTTGCTATTTTTGGCCTGTTGCGTGACACGTCGTGTTTCTACCATATCCATACATTAGAATAATTGATTGTCTTATCGAAGTAAACAAGTTTGAGTGAGCGAGATTCTATGCAAAGACACAGACTTTAAGTTGAAATGAAATTAGTATTGATTTTTATACTCTTTTATTTAATTTTAAGATATTTAAGCCTAAACTCTTTTTCTTAAAATTAAAGGCCTGTGAATAAAAGTATCATAAATAAATTTTGGCAATTGTATTCCATGTTTGAAATATGTAACTATCTTTCTATTGTTACTGGGAAAGTAGGCCGAAACACGAAAATCTTGTAAATATAAACGAGCATTACACACTTGTGCTCGTGGGAAAATACAAAATCCATCTTTTTTGTTGTTTTTCTACCCAATGTAAAAACATCACAAATATTACTGACGATGTTTTTTAACTCTATACTTCAATTTACAAATCTAGTCTAAAAAAATATTTTTATAAATATTTCTTCTAATACTTAATTGAAAATAGGTTTTTTTTTGTTGTTAAGCACAAAGCTACTCAATTGCTATCTGTGCTCTGCA